CATTTCTGATGAGGCAAACTTAATGTGGATTTGCAAAAGGACGTAACAGCAGAGTAAAACTGCAGTTTTGGACTGCAGGCACAGAACATAGAGCAAAGTGTAGAGTAGTTCTCTAATATCACTGAAGTGGGAGCTTTTTGGTTAATAATTATCACTGATTAACTGAAGGATGTTAAAATCAAAAAATGAAAGTAACAACAAAAAAAAAACTTGACGAGGGAGAAAAGCATTTAGAAGTTATCAGTGGGCTAGAAAAAGCGGTTTATGGAAATACTACAACATTAGACTTGTTTTAGCTCGGTTAGGGACAAGCGAGACTATTCAGGACACCGACTGCCGTGATGACAAGGAAGGGTCTGATGGTGTTAGAAGAGATTCCCTGCCACTTCCCCACCAGGGTCGCCGGCTTGTCACCGCTGCTGTCCCGAGGCTGTTCTGTACCTGGCAGCATGGGCAGCAACTGCTCTGCAAGACTTTCCCGGCTTGGCAGTGGTTGGGGCACAGGGCGTGCGGGTGCAGCAGGCTCACCTGCAGCCCCTTCGGCACCCATTCGGGACCAGAGTTGGCTCAGCTCACTGGGAGAATCATAACACGTAGGTCCAGCAGACAGCGAATTGGCACCTCACCGAAAAAAGTCCCTGTTCTGATGAGGGCTGTTGTAGATATATTGCGAGCCATATTCCAGCAGCATGGTTGCTCTTGAGAGGAGTGTCTTCATGAAACCAGCAATGTAGGCCAATTTCTAGATAGGGAAATTGGTCTGGTTTGAGTTTGCTACCAAATTACCACAGTGGATTGACTCTTCTAAGGCACCTGGTGCATAAGAGGAGTCTAGATTATATGCTTCAGTTGGGAAATGAAACCCTTTCAAGAATCTGAAATCAATTTCAGCATCGCCCATCTCTGCAGGCGATTGCTTGGGGACACTGGGTGGCAGTGACCCTTCTTAGAGCTGGGCTTTGCTCCACCAGCCCTTCTGGAGGTAAAAGACGACAGCTATCTAAAAGTTTATTGGCAGGCCTTGGAAGGGTTAAATGTTTTCTTTGTGGCAGTGAAGGACATGGAAAGCTGCCAAGCATTTAGATTTGAAAAGCAGCTGGAGTTTAGCTGCTCTTAGCAAGCAATTCAGTGCAGGAAGGGGGAGACTAATAATAACGTTACACAGTGCCATTCATAACACTGTCGTTAAGTTTGGGTCAGCGTTTTCCATCCAGACTCCCACGCTTGGCTGGAGCCGAGGTGCAGAGCCCAGGCCCACCCGCCGCCCCGGCGCTGCAGGAGGACAAGCCCAGGTCTCCGAAGAAGTGCAGCTCAGAACGCACAGAGGGAGCAGGGTCCCCTCTTGTGCTCCTGGAGCTCAAAAATGGCTGTTTTATAGATGATGAGATCACTGTTTGGAAACAAGACCGTTAACAGTAACTGACTTATTCCAGTTTTAAAATGGGTTATTTTGGATGGATTTAAAAAGTTGTCCTCCGATCTCAGAGACTTATCAGTGCTCCCAGCTTTTGATAACAACGTTCATTCTAGTCCTCCCAGCTTCTTCTACACCATTGATCTGTTTGTTTCTGTGAAGACATTGCACCACTGCTGCTGCCTGTGTGGGCTTGCGCCAGTGCCAGACACCTTGTGTTTAGTGCCCAGTGGGCTACAGGGCAAAGACCACCCCTTTGGGTGGGCTGGATTCTTATGCAAGGAACTTAAACAAGAGTAAGCGGTGTATTGCTCGTTCCAGCCATGTGTGTGCAGGTCTTAACCCTCCCCATGACAAAGAACAGGTTTGGAGAATGTGCTTTGGATTTGATTCTGGGTTGGATCAAATGTTTGAACAGATAGTTAGCAAACAACACCACCTTAAGTAATAGGACATTCGTACTGTAGCAAGGCTTAATGCTGATTAAGTAGTTACAAGAGATTTAAATGGCTCCAGGATATGCTGTAGTAACTGAGTTTCATCTTGGGTCTCTCTAATATTGTACAGAAAAGAAATCCATGACAGTGCATTTCTTTTTTCTCCAGTGTTTCAATAAACCCATCCTTAATGTCACAGCTTCACAAAGCTTTTTTTTTTACTGGTTTGCAAAAAAAAAAATCAATAAATCTTGAGCTGAGTACATGAGTAGGGTGGTGCCCCAGCATTAGTCACAGACATATGTATCCATAGTAAGATGCTTTGTCATGGGGTAGGTGTTTGGATAATGAGAGGACATTAAAAAAAAAACCACAACCAAAAACCAGGCAATTGCACACATTTGCTACCGAAGTTTTGGTGTAGTTGCACATCATACATGATGTTCCCAATAGCTCTGAAGCATTAATGGAAGAGTTATGATAAATAGCTAGTATGCTCTTTTCCCCACTTTCTGCAGGAGGATAAATGTGCTGAGTTGCACATGTTCTACTTCCTTTTCCCTGCCATCTCTAATTTTTGTTCCCTGGAGGATATTTGTCACGGAGTTCAACCTGACTGTGCTTGGGAACACTAGGCATGTCTCATGTGAATTAGAGCTCTTCAGATTTGTCTCCTAGTCCAAAAAATAAAAAGTAAGACTGCAGCTTTGGCTAGGAAAGAGAAATCAGGTCAGACTTGCTCAGTGGCTCCAAATGCATAAAATGGGCATACACCTGGCCCAGGTGTAGGAAAACCTCGAAAGGGGTGAGGTGAGGAACTTTTTTAGTAAGTTCTTTTAGCATTCGTTGCAGAACAACCCCAGGTGCTAACACAGGTGTTCGCGGTGCTGTATTTGGGAGGCTTGTATCATGCTGCTGAGCTGTGCTAGGAGCTGCCTGCAGTGGCGTTTGAGCGTAGTTCGGATTTCTGCGAGCATGCTGGGGACAAGTGCTGCACTGGTGGGCTTGGAGCTTCTCGCCTGCTTTCGACCGCAGTTGTCACTGCTGAGGTTTAGGATTGGTGGTTTTTTGTTGTTGTTTGGTCCTCCCCCCCACCCCCCCGTTCCCAGAGCAAAATGATATTTCAGAGAGGCACCTGAGAAGGGAGACTGACTGGAGTATGAGTCATCTCTCTCAGGGGTTTTTTGGCTCAGTAATTTTTTTCTGTATGAAATGCAATTAAAGCTTGACTTTGCTTTTGAAAACACACAAATGAAACACTATTTCTTCTGCTTCTTCTAAGTGACCACAGTGCTCCACCTTCCTCTTTCCTTCCCTATTTGTATCTACCTCTGTCTACAGTCACACCAAGGCTTAGAAAGTCGAGCAGCTTTTCAGCAGATAGACCATGTCACGGCATGACTTGCAACAAAAGAGTGGAGAGGAGTCCAAGCTACAGTTTAGCATAATATCTACTTTATTTTTCTCCAGTGGGCTTGTGTGAACAAGACACCAAAACCACTTGCTATAAATTTCGGAAAATACTGTCTGACTGATGCAGACAGTGACTTTCTCTACTGGATATGTGGTCTGTCTTTTGCAATATTTCTTTTGAATGCATTTGTGTTGTAAAACGCTTCTGAGAGCATGCTAATTTTTCTGTCACTTATGAGAACTGTTTTCTTAGTAATTTCACGTGCAGTGTTTGGAGAAGAGGACACAGGTACTGGATACAATTAGAAAAAACAAAGGTTTCTTTCCAAAGGACAGTCCATTTCTGTTGTGTAGGGCCGGAGAGGGATGTCTGTGGCTCATAAACTGAATTGAAGTATAAAAGCTATGATAGTTACATTTGAGTAACTCAGTGACTGTTGTATGTCAGTGGGAATAGTTGAATGCTGAACAAATGTCACAAACACAAGTTCGAAATGGTAGTTGTTATATGGGTTTTTTTATATATATATATATTTATATATAAACAGCTACAGGTATAGCTGTGCCTGGCTCTCAGCCTCCACTAGAGTTGTTTTTATTTCCTGGTATTCAATGTGTGGGATATGTGTGCGTATTGTGATATAGCCTGAATTTTATACAGGGGTTGTATGGGAAATAAAACTGCTTCTTTTCCCAAATTGAGGTTGCCTGAGCCATGGTACCTACAGGTGTTTTATTTATAAAGCTTTCCTCATACAAAGGAACATCTTATGCTGCACCAATACGTGTGCACATATGATAACATAGGTGCAGGTGTGACTGGAGGCAGTTTCTCCTGTGAATGGGGAAGCAGAGCCAGGCCACCATGGCATTTCTCCTTTGCATAAATAAATAACTAAATAAATGTTTTAATACTATTTTATAGTTCTACTGTAAGAACAGAGTGGGCAAAATTGTAGAAACAAGGAGCTCCTGTAGCTCCTGCAACTGAGGAAGATGAGAGAGAGAAGGCCATCGTCAGGAGGTGCTGCCGGCCATGCGTGGCGGCTGGTCTGCCTCTCCACCCTGAAAGCATCTGCCCATTGCCAGGGATTGCAAACAGCCTTGTCACACAGGTGATCCTTATTGCAGTAGTGAAAGTACAGGTTTCCAAACCTTTTGTTCATATATAGTAAACAGTTGGATCTAATGGAACTTTTCTGTCTCTTTTTCTCCCAAATATTAGTGTTTTGTTTTATAACTATAATACAAAAAAAAAATTTAAGAGCCCATAACTTGAGGACTAGGGGAAGATTATTTTTGGTTTCTTATGCAATCTTAATTTGGCTCTGTTCTAGGAGCATTTTGTATCCCAGCCCTTCATTACACAGTTATGTGATACTTTGCCACAGGACCCCAGCCCTCACAAAGGGGACAGTTACAATCAGATGGGCAGCTGTGAATTTCACACACAACTTGCAACTGCTGGTCTTTGTAGCCTAAATAATGTAACTTGTTAGTTGTCTTAATGCCTCGTGATTGACTTGAAATTTTCTTTTTGCACATAGAAAAGCTTTATGGTCCATATTTTGAGTTCTTAATTTCACCATTGGTACCTGGGGTAGGTGATGTAGCTTTGAGGTTGGTTTTTCTGGAGTGACAGCTGTGAGTGTGAAGGCAGTGCTCAGAAGAACAGTGGCTGAAGTGCCTCCTTCAAAAAAATGCTGAAGGAGGCACTAAGTTATGTAAATGAGGATTAGTCTTCCCAATTTTCATGTTGGTAATTAATAAATTGTCTAGGAGATGATGATTTATGATTATTTTGGTGGACTTGGCAGTATTAGGTTAACGGTTGGACTTGATCTTAAGGATCTTTTCCAACCTAAATGATTTTATGATTTTCTTCTCCCCACAGAAACAGAATATATATGTTGCCATCCTTTCTGACTGCACTGTATTTCTTCCAAAGAGTCTGCACCCTTTTTTGTGAATCCTTCCCATGAAGAACACGAGGGAATGATCATATCTAGAGTATTTATTGCATGAAGCATTAAATCTAATCCTAGAATTAGTAATATATTTGGGCAAACTAAGTTTTGACTCTTGATGATGATAATGACATGTAAAACTACATGTGAGCATGTTTACTACAGCGGGGAACCCGAACTGACCCGTGACCTCACGGGCTGGTGGAGTTCAGGGTAACAGAAACCATGCTAGTGACACAGCTTCGCTTGCAAGATCAGTCTCTGGCTGGTGACCTGGAGGCTGAACTCTGGTCAGGCTGTGCAGTGCCCAAAACAAAGGAGGGAATCAGCTACCTGAGTTTTTTTTTTCTCAATTAATTTAATTCTCAGGGTCAAATTAGACGTGACTTCATATGCTGGGGTGTACTGGAAAAGTAGGTGCTAAGGAGCAGGCTTTTGGCAGTGAAGAAAGACAGTAGTTGTGTTTTTGATACGCAGGCAAGGGCAAATTCAAACTGGTCCTGAGGAAATCCCTGCTATTTCTAGCACTGGTGCTGCTCGGAGGGGCCCCTTGCAGAATTCTTCTGAGGCAAAGCTGAGAGGATGAAAACGCTGAAGACAAGCTCTCTGGCAGCAAGAGCAGGATGGTCTATGGCCTTTAGATCGGGCAAAATCACTTTCAGATCACAGTCTTTTCCTGGGCAGGATGGATCGGAGGCTTCTGTGTAGCGGGAATATTCTCTGGGTTGAGAAGTTGAGGGGTTTTGTCAGGTAGATGAACACTCAACGGGATTTTATGGCCATCAATTCTCCACACAGTGGTAATGGCATTTTAAAGTGCTATATGATTCGCTCTGGGTGGAGGTGTGACTTTTCATACAGCTGAGAGCCTAGCCTGGCATGCCCTTGTGTTCCAGCTCCCCCTTCTCCCCTGTGCTCAGGGGTTGCTCAGGGCAGAGGAGGAAGGAAGAAGCCACTAAGCCACTGAAGCAACGAGTCACAGAAGGGTTCAAACTCGTCCGTAGGTCAGCTCACCTTTCCTATAGACTTGAGGAATTGTAAAACACCACCTGTGAGAACATGTGCAATGTATGTGTGTCTGTCTTAAAATACATGAATACCACTTTCTGTATGGGTAATAGAAAAATCTGATCAAGGAAGGATATAGTAGCTTCTGTTTCCTGCAGAAAAAATCCTGCCATTTGGTCAGTTATATGAGATAGCATGGCACCTGATTTAACCTTGCAGCTTGCAAGCACGCACATTTATTTGACAAGAAAATGCTAAGAGCAAACTGAATGTACAGCTTGCTAAACAGCCAATAAATCTAGGTTATATCTTCCTTCCCCGGTCAGGAAACAAGGGAGCTATTTTTAAATCTGGCCTTCCTGTACACATTGAAATAGAATAATTTTTATTGTGCTAGACAGAGCATGACAATACTTTCACATTAAATAATGAGCTCTTACTGTTGCTCTGAATTAAACGGGCAGGACTGGACAGAAACCATTCTTTCTCCAAAAAAGACCGGTTCCAGTGATTTCTCCAGGCATTGACCTCTGCAAAGATTAGATCATCCAGGGAGGAAGAGGAGCAAAGCAACCTGAATGGTGGGGAGAGAAGCCAGTAGCTTTGTGGGAGGTCTTCCATTGCATTTCATTTACTCGGGAACAGGGAAAATTACAGATAAGATCTCCTAATTTGTATTAAACAGTTTGATGCAAGAGCCTTTTGCAATCCTAACTGTTAAACAGTTTGGATTATCTGGCTAGAGGCTCTTTCTGCCGAAGGCAAGAGGTCTTCATTGCAGTTGTTAAGGGGAAGTTACGATGTGAATTCATGTCAGCCTGGAGCCTTCAGCTACCTGTGGCGCATCTTTCCCTGTGGCCCTGGGTTTGTGCAAAGATAGAGCCAACACTTGCTTGGGTATGGAATATGGGATGTAGTAACTTTTCATTTGCATGGTTGTACTGTAGTGTCTGGTTTCAGCAATTAATGTTTATTTCAGCTTCTCAGTGTGCCGGGAAGTAGTGCTCTTCTCTTCATTGCTAAAAATAAGCAGACAAGTTTATATAGTCTAATCTCTCCCTGACATGTGAGGGAGCTATAATTTAAATTTATTGGTCTTAACAGTTGCAAGTGATTCTGTGTTTGTGTTCAGAACGTGCCAGATTCAAGTCTTGGCATATGCTCCTGCAGCAAACATTTCCCTTATCTCTTAGCTTTCTGTAGGTGCCTGTTTATACCTGTTGTATGACTTCTGT